AGCTTGATATGCAATTTCAGTTATTTTTGGATTATCTTAAAAAGTTGCATGTTAATATTCCTTTTGTTGAGGCACTTAAGAAGATGCCGAATTGGGTTAAGTTTATAAAGGAACTTGTATCGAAGAAGATGAGGCTTCCGGAGTGTGCAGCAATAGTAGACCTCAATGAGCAAAGTAGTGCTATCCTTGCAAATAAAATTCCACCGAAGCTTAGAGATCCAGGCAGTTGTACCATTCCATGCACAATAGGTACTAGGTATTTTGGGCGGGCGTTGTGTGATCAAGGGGCGAGCGTAAATTTAATGCCTTTATCAATTTATGAGAAATTGAATTTAGGAGAAATTAAGCCCACTTCCGTGACCTTGCAGCTAGCCGATAGATCTTTTACTCACCCTTTAGGTATAGTGGAGGATGTATTGGTTAAGGTAGATAAGTTTATACTCCCGCCCGATTTTCTAGTACTAGACATAGAGGAAGATGAAAATATTCCCCTTATCTTAGGACGCCCCTTCTTAGCAACCGGTAGGTCAATTATTGATGTAGGAAAGAGAGAGCTAAGAATGAGTGTGGGGGAAGAAACAATGATCTTCAAGGTGTACCGGGTGGATGAAAAGCCTACTACGGCTAATGGATGTTATCTTCTCGATGAGGTAAGTGATTCTTTACTTTTTCCTGTTAAATTACATGATTTAAATTTTTTTGTGGATACTAATGTGCATGTAGGAGAACAAAAGAAAAAGGTTGAGTTGGTTACAATACCTACTCAAAACACCGTGATAAAAGACGATGTTGGCAAGCCTCATGACATCAAGAAGAATAAATTCAAGGGCATTCCTAAGCGAACCAGTCGAAAGAAGAATCGAATCAACCCATTTATTCAAGACTTTCTCCAAAGGGAAGTAAGGAGATGGGTTCAAAAGCTAAGGAATTGAAGAGCATGAACAAAGTCTGGCTGAAGACTGTAAACTTAGCGCTTCTCGGGAGGCAACCCGAGATTTTCGTTTTTTTTTATTTATTTTTCTTGGTTTATTTTATTTATTTATTTTATAAGCATGTAAGCTAACAATTTAAGCATATTTATAATTTTCAGGTCAAGATATTGCAGCTCCGGAGCTCATACGGCCGTCCCAAAACAAGGCCAAAATCTCATACGACCGTGTGGAAATCGGAAAAAGCTACTGCCCAATTTTCACTTTGCGCACGGCCGCGCGGGAAAAACACTATGATCTCACATGGCCGCGCGAGAAACAGACAGCTACTGCCCAATTTTGGCAATTCGCACGGCCGTGCGGAAAACAGTTCAAAATCTCATACGGCCGTGCGAAGCTCAACAGAAGCATAATAAGAGCGAGGGTGGAGAGCAAACCGGAGATGGCTAGGACGACTTATTCAGGTGTATTCTATCCTTAAAACTTCGTGCTAATTACATTGAGGGCAATGTAAATTTTAAGTTTGGGGGAGGAAAATTACTTGCTTTTATGTGCTTTAATTTTTTTTAGTTTGCATGCCTTAGTTTTTTTTATTTTTTTTATTTTAGTTGTTTTAGTTTATTTATTGCTTTCAAAAAAAATATTTGAGATAAATTCTTCGATAATTCATGATGATGAAAGATGGTTGATGTTTAATGATGAAATTGCTTGCTTTATCTTGACTGTGATTGAATTTTGGTGAGCTTTTGATTCAAAGTGTCGTAGGTAGGAGTCATTGTTAGGAATCACGAATTATGCCTTGCTTTGGTTGAAAGTTTTGTGTTTTAAAACGTGGAATTAATTTATGCTATATCATATGCTATTCGGTTTTAGAACTTGCTTGAGGAATTTACGAAGTGAAATATTAAATTCTTGAGCAATTTGGGAAGTGATTTGGGCCATCTTTGAATCGTTTGAGCCTTTCAAGCCTACCTTTAAATTTATATCATTCGAACCTTGATTGAGCCTCGGAGAAATGGTGTTCTTTCTTTTAGCCAATGTGTATAAGGTAGAAAAGTGGAGATCCTTGAAAAATTACCCCTTGGAGTTCGGTCGAAAATTTTTATAAGGTCCTTCTTCCTCTTCGATAAAAAAAAAAAAAAAAAAAAAAAAAGAGAAGAAGAAAGAGAGAGAATAAGAAGAGACTAGAAGGGATATGAAAGGACTAGTTGTTGAATTTTTGTTTGAAAGCTCGATCCATTGTCTTAAGAGCAAAAGTGGAGACTTTTGAACTCTTAAAAATCGAGTTTATTAAAAGTCCTTAGAGGTGAATTCATTGTTTCAAACGCTTATCTTTCAAAATTTAGCGTAATCACCTCAATTCAAGAAACAGAGCCACGTATACCCATATTTCCTACCTCGAACCAAAAAGCCCAACATTTGAAAGCCAAAAAGTCCCAATGATCCCAATAGCTCAATTATTTGATACTAGCCGAGTAGAGAAATTTGGTGAGTCTTTGGAGTTGAATATTATTATGTAAGTATAAATTTTCTCCATTTTTAATTTACAAATATAGGATACTTGAAGTGATAGCATGGTTTGAGGTTTTTGGCAAGGGTGAGTGAATACATATCTTTGAAGTACGAGCTTGTAAATTTTTGAGAATTGTCATGATAATTGCAAGTTCTGAAAAAAATGAAAGTTGACCATTAATCTATGTGATGAGATGCAGTTGTTGAGAGTGTTGCTGTGAAAGTTGCTAGTTTTTGCTTGAGGACAAACAAAATATCAAGTTTGGGGGTGTTAAGTGTGTATTTTTACACTTTATCGTATCTTTTTATTTGAGCTTTTGGTGTGATTTAACGATAATTGGTGTTTAAAAAGTTGATTTATTGTATTTCAGGTACAAATTGAAGAATTGGAAAAGTTTTGGGTCAAAACTGCAATTTTGGAGAAAATATGGGCCAAAAGTGAAATAATCAAAAATCTTAAGAAATTGGCACGGGACGGCCGTCCCAGATTTATACGTAAAACTGGGACGGCCGTGCCAACTGCAGAACTTGGGCATAAGGTTTCGGCGATTCTCGCGCGGCCGTGTGAGAATTACACTGATTTTCGCGCGGCCGCGCCAAAACACGCTGGAGACAATTTTGGACTTTTAATCACACAAGGAAACCTAGAATCATCTACCAAGTTGGGACATCTATTTAAGGGCAAACCAAGCACGAATTAAAGGACTTTCACACGATTTTTGACACAAGCTTGGAGCGAGAGGAGCGAGAGAACGAAGAATCGAAGACGGAAATTGACAAATCTTCATCACAATTCTTCTTTTATCTATCTTTTCTTAATCTATGTCTTTTTATATTTTTATTATGTTTTTCGTAGAGAACATGAGTAGCTAAGTTTTTAATCTAGGATTTTGTTGGAACCCTATGTGGGGATGGTGAACCCGTTTTCTTGAGATTATGCAATTATGATTTTATGATTATTTCTTATACTTGTTATGATTGTTAGTGCATGAACTTGATCAATTTATGTGCTTTATCTGTGATTATTAAGATTGACTCGACAGAGCTATTTTGATAATTGGACGGTAAGTATAAGAACCTTCGAGTAGTTTTCACCGGATGAGTGTGTCAATTGCATGTGATGTCGTAGACATGCAGATATCACCTTAGGTAGCCATTTACGAGACTTGTTAGTTAATGCTTTATTCATTATTTGTTTGCATAGACATATAGTGAACCGTTTATGAATAATAGACTCATAATACACGCGACAGCGGGTTATGAGTAAATTAGTGTCTCGGGTTAATAATCATGAATCATATATTTCATAATTGAGGGGTTTTGGGTGAGCAATTCTTGCATAGGGGGAAGATAAAATCATAGGTCCGTTTTTATTGATATTTTCTCGTGATTCTTTGCTTTCTTAATTAGTTTAATTGTTTAATTGATTTAATTCGACAAACTTGCGTAGGCTGGATAAAAATCATAGTTGTTAGAATTTGGTACTTAGGATTAGATAATTTGAGTATTTCCCGTGGGATCGACATCCGACTCTCACGAGTCCACTTTTACTACTTGTTTGCGATACGTGCAGTTGCGTGTTATGTATTAGCCCCAACAGCAGTTCTTAGACCTGCAAGTATAAATTTATTCATGTAACAAACAGACCTTTTATGTGAGAAAAAATAGAACATAAACTACAACGCCCAAAGTCTAAGCATCAGGGACGGCCCTGGCCCAGGGCGAGCTGGGGCCCAAAAAATATTATATTTTGTATTATTATTTTATAATTATTTTTCTTTTCTCTTCTTCCAACCCCTATTCTCTTCATCTCTTAAGTTTTTAACCCCCACTTTTCACATTAATTTTTTTGACCCAATCCATTTTGTCCTTTATCTCTCTCTATATTTTTTTTACCCATTTTCTTTTGTCCTCTTACCCTTTCTCTCTCATTTACATTGTTTTACTCTAACTCAAATTTTCTTGCACTCCTATATATTTCTCTATTGTCTTTTCCATGTTATTGGTGTTTTTATTTCTCAAAATTAAATTATTTCTGTTAAATTATAAAACTTTTTTCTAATACCCATTTATATATATATATATATATATATATATATATATATATATATATATATATATATATATATATATATATATATATATATATATATATATATATATATATCGGAATTTAGGGCCTCGATTTTAAGTCTTGCCCAGGGCCTCCAATCACCCGGGACCGGCCCTGCTAAGCATATATTAATCATGCGAACGCAAATAGACAAAGACAACAACATTCAAAGACCAAAGAATACGTCTAAAAAAACTAAATCTGAACTGGGGTTCGTTTATTTTAATTAAATCCGTAAAAAAAAGAATATGATATGTTGATAAAAATGTGATATTTACCTCAGCTTATGAATAATAGTTCCAAGTGTAAGCAAACTACGGTTAATATGACAGCCTTCTTTTAACCTTGTGCCAGCTGATAACAGATGCTCGTTCACTTCCAGCCAAATCGACGAAATTCTGTCAATAAAATTACTTTCCGATTAAAAACATTAAATAATGCTATACCATTATTTTTTTGTTATTAGATAAATTCCATACCATAACAGCTGTAAGAGTGCTCGCATTTTCCCTTCCTAAAAAGTCACGAGAACAGCTTTCAATAGTCTGCAACAATCCACATTGTTCATTAACAAAAGTTATCGAATAAATAAACAATAAATTAAATAAAATCACAATATACCAATCTAATAATTTGGTGGGATCTCGGGCTCATTTCATTAAGCGACGTTTCTCCAATTTGTCTTTGAGCTGCAAGGATTAACAAAAATGATGATTTTGTACTCTTAAGCCTTGTTTGGCAATCGTGATTAGGCATGATAGACAATATAATCAAGCTCTATCGAATCTTCCCAAACGAGGCCCTAAGAAATCTAACATTCGTTTTGATTAGGAGCAATAGTTCCAAATTATCAAGAATCGAAACAACGGAGTCAAAATATTAAATACGAATCAAATATATCAGTTTTCTTATTTCTTACCTTCACATATACAAAGGAGATGAATCACATGACTCCAGTCCCTTAATATCTCCTCTCTCAGCTTCTCGACTATGGTTCCTCTCTGGCGAAATAAGTACCGATAAGCGAAATCAAAAATAACAAAATTAAGAGAAAAAAATTAAAATTGAGCAAAATCGCTTGTCAATGAAAAAGAATTCACCTCTGTATCATCGAGAAGTCTTAGTGGAGTGTTATCTACACTTAGTAGATCTCTCACCGATTCGTTGTAGATCTCCATAGCAGAGAATTTGAACACGAAATCTCTTTCTTGGTGCTGAAAAATCCCTCGATTATTATAAAAAAATAAGCATAATTTGCAAAAAGAATACGAGTAATGAAGTACAGTTTCATCTTACCTTCTGTATGTATCCATATATGTCAGGTAGTGCGTATTCAGTTATTCCAGTCATTGTATACGTCTTTCCGCTGCTCGTTTGTCCATACGCAAAAACACGTGCTACAAAAAGAAAAATTCATCTTTGGTTCGAATAAATAATATCTATTTATATTACATGAATCCAAAAAAATTAGAAAAGAGAGAAACTAACACACAATTGATTCCACTAATAACCGAAAGCGCGACATACTTAGCTCCCTGTTCGTATACTTCTCTCGTCGAGCAACCACAGGTCAAAAATTACGAAACAAAAAATTGTTCTTTCACAATTGCTTGCCCCAAAAGCTTAAAAACACGGTACACTATATACTATTATCTTGTCTGAACACCATCATCAATCAAAGTCAAATTAAACAAAATTCGAAAACCCGAAATCCGGAAAAAATCACACTCACCAAATGTATACGAAGTGGGGTACTTTGATCTCTCCGAGGCAGAGAGAGCGGAATTCTTGTAAATAATCGTCTCGTTATTGATGCATTCCCAATCCGAAACATCGTTCCTCAGAATTTCCCTACCGTTCGGCGGTCGTAACCTCACCGACACATAGAACAATATTTTTGTACAATCAAGAGGAACTTCTTTCTTCGTAGATGGCTGAGTTCGGCAAACCCTCTCTCTTTGGAGTGGACTGTGAGCGGCGCATAGGTGTCGGAGCTTCAACTCCTCCTCAGTTATAATCATGTGTGACTCATTTACGAAAAATTCGCAATATCGAGTATAAAATCATATGATTTACGATTCAATTCATTCATACCTAAGTCGATTCAAAAGTTAAAATAAGTCTTAAATTTCAACAAATCGATCAAATTTTACGATTTAGGAAAACTTTAATTTATTATATTATTTATAATAAACTTGTGATAATCACAGTCTTTGTCGCTATATTATATACCATTTCTAATTTTGGTCGTTAACCGGAAATGCCCAAGTGGAGGTCAATTTGTAATTTCTGAAAATCCACCTCCCTGGCTCAAACAGTTCTGAAAATTGCAGAATCACCCCTATACTTACTCCATCTTCCTACCCGCTCCATCCAAATTGCAAATTTGACCCCAAAGTGGATCTCTCTTTCAATATCCAAAATACCCACCACATTTACTAGAATTCGCAATACCGAGCATAAAACCTTATGATATACGATTTAAATCTTACGATTCAATTCATTCATATCTATGTGATTCAAATGTTAAAATAATTCTTAAATATTAACAAATCAATCAAATTTTACGACTTTTGGATATATATATATATATATATATATATATATATATATATATATATATATATATATATATATATATGATTTTTGTCCTTAAACCAGAAATGCCCCCATGTGGGGTTAATTTGTAATTTCTGAAAATCCACCTCCCTTACTGAAACAGTTTTGAAAATTGCAAAATCACCCTATTTACTCTATCTTCCCAGCCGCTCCACCCAATTTGCAAATTTAACCCCAAAGTGGATCTCTCTTGAAATATCCGAAATATCCACCACCAATGCAGTATGCTTCGACGACTCATCAACTATAATCGAGTATGACTCGTTTACGAAAATTCGCAATTCCGAGTTTAAAATCTTATGATTTACGATTCAAATCATACGATTCAATTCGTTCATACCTAAGTCGATTCAAAAAAAAAAAATCTTAAATATCAACAAATAGATCAAAGTTTACGATTTAAGATTTATGAATTTTTTTTTTTTAATAAACTTGTGATAATTACATTTTTGTCCCTATATAATATTCCATATTTAATTTTGGTCCTTATACCAGAAATGCCCCCCAAGTGGAGGTCAATTTGTAATTTCAAAAAATCCACCACCGTGGCTCAAATAGTTCTTAAAATTGCAGAATCACCCTTATACTTACTCCATCTTCCTATCCGCTCCCCCCAAATTGCAAATTTGACCCCAAAGTGGATATTTCTTTCAATATCCAAAATATCCGCTACATTTACGAGAATTCGCAATAGCAAGCATAAAACTTCATGATTTACGATTCAAATCTTACGATTCAATTCATTCATATCGTCAAATGTTAAAATAAATCTTAAATATTATACCTATTTCGCATCGCACGTCGTCATTCAGGTAGCCTTTAACGGAAGGAAGAAAATTAACTCCTGATTAATCAGCTTTCGTTAACACAAAAACGAGTGATACGAACCCCGTAGAACTTGTTACGGGACCCAATAATCTTATGCGGAAGCAAGAACGGAACGTCCAAAAATAAAGGATTCGATTGGCGGAATTCGGAATATTGACCCCGTAGCTATAGAGAGCTAGAAACCAATATTATCAAGGTGGAAGTATTGACCCCGTGATTATAATGAATCAGAAACCAATACTATATTGCTAAGAATAATTCACAAGAATCCACTCGCAAAATATCCCGAAGAGTTGTTGAAGAACAACGAAGGAGAATTTTAATCTCTCAAAATAATACTTAAAAACGTCCAAGTAATAATGACCCTAAAACCACCTATTTATAAGTGTCAAAGAGACCTAATCTAACAAGGAAAATAAATCCTAACTTATCTATTATAAGGAAATAACGAAATAAACTAAATCTAGTCCAAATAGGACTCTAAATAACAAGAAATAAATTGTCCATTAATAAAATACGAAAATTAATAATAATCATCTTTTCCAAGTCACGTCTTCTCGGCTGGATGACTAGACGGGTTCAAGTCCTTGAGCTCGGCTTGCTTCACAATCTGGCCCGATAATTCGCTCCAATTAAGCTCAGTTGGGATCGAACTAGACTTCGTCAATTCTTCCTTTTGGAGCTCGTGTTCTACTAAGTTAAGCATGGCTGCTTCAATGCGCTTGGCCCGAGCTCGGGTAATCGGTCCTCTTGGCACATGCAGCTCGTCCAAGTCATCAACTCCTTCATCCAGCTCGGCACTACCTCTCGTAATTGGCTGGATCGTATCATCCTCCCCCTCTTGAAAATGATTCGTCCTCGAATCTGAATCTACATCAAACGGAGATAGGTCAGAAACATTAAATGTCGAACTAACTTGATACTCACTTGGAAGGTCGATCTTATAGGCATTATCGTTAATCTTTTCCAGCACTTGGAAAGGTCCATCTCCTCGTGGCTTAAGTTTTGAACTTCGCTGATTGGGAAATCTTTCCTTTCGAAAATGAACCCAAACCCAATCTCCTTGCTGAAAGGTAAGGTGCTTTCGCCCCTTATTAGCTCGGTTCACAACTTGCTCATTCCTTTTCACAATGTGCTCGCGTGCTTCTTCATGGATTTTCTTCACTAACTCAGCCTTACGCTTCCCATCTAGACTTGAAATCTCATTAACAGGTAAAGGCAACAAATCCAAAGGAGTTAGCGGATTAAAAACATAAACAATCTCAAAAGGTGAAAACTTTGTAGAAGAATGCACCGATCTATTATACGCGAACTCAATAAAAGGAATACATTCCTCCCATGACTTAAGGTTTCTTTTAAGAACAGCTCGCAATAACATACCTAAAGTTCGATTAACCACCTCGGTTTGACCATCGGTTTGTGGATGACAAGTAGTTGAAAAGAGTAAAGTCGTACCTAACTTACCCCACAAAACACGCCAAAAATGACTAAGGAATTTAACATCCCTATCACTAACAATAGTACGAGGTACCCCATGCAATCGCACTACTTCGCTAAAGAATAAATTTGCTACATGCGTAGCATCATCAGTTTTATGACATGGAATGAAGTGTGCCATTTTAGAAAAACGATCTACCACAACAAAAATAGCATCTCGACCTTTACTAGACCTCGGCAACCCTAAAACAAAATCCATTGATACATCGGTCCAAGGGTGAGTAGGAACAGGTAATGGCATATATAATCCATGTGGTTTAACCCTAGATTTAGCTCGCCTACATGTTAGACACTTCGAACAAATCCTCTCAACATCTCGCTTCATACGCGGCCAAAAGAAATGTTCTTTTAAAATATCTAATGTTTTAGAAACACCAAAATGTCCCATTAAACCACCTCCATGTGATTCTCGCACAAGTAATTCACGAAGCGAACAATTAGGCATGCAAAGTTTGTTCTCCCTCAACAAATAATCATCATGCTTGTAGAATTTTTCAAAAGTTCCTTTTTGACATGCAGCAAATATAGTAGCAAAATCATGATCGTTCACGTACAACGCCTTAACATGGTCAAAACCTAAGAATTTAGAACTAAGGGTCGACACGAGAACATACCTGCGAGATAGTGCATCAGCTACGACATTATCTTTACCTTGTTTGTACTGTATCACAAAAGGAAACATCTCGATAAACTCCACCCACCGAGCATGTCTTCGGTTCAGCTTGCCTTGGCCCTTAAGATGCTTTAGCGACTCGTGATCTGTGTGTATTACGAATTCCTTAGACCACAAATAATGTTGCCAAGTCTCCAAAGCTCGCACCAACGCGTAGAGCTCTTTGTCATAGGTCGAGTATTTCAAGGTTGCGCCGCTGAGCTTCTCGCTGAAATAAGCGATAGGTCGCTTGTCTTGCATAAGCACTGCACCAATACCAATTCCAAAAGCATCACATTCGATTTCAAAAGTTTTAGAAAAGTCTGGTAAAAGTAATAAAGGAGCGGAACTTAGCTTATCTTTTAAAGTGCGAAATGCACGCTCTTGCGCCTCGCCCCACTTGAAGCCAGCCTCCTTCTTGATCACCTCGGTAAAAGGTGCTGCAATTGTGCTGAAGTTTGGTACAAATCTCCTATAGAATCCCGCTAGGCCATGGAAGCTTCGCACCTCGGATGCGTTCTTGGGTGTTGGCCATTCACGAATAGCTTTAACCTTTTCCTCGTCCACTTCAACGCCCCTATAACTCACAACAAAACCAAGAAAAACTATCCTATCTAGGCAGAAATCACACTTCTTTAAATTAGCATATAATTGTTCTTGCCGTAAGGACTCCAAGACACACCTCAAATGTTCAACATGATCATGCAAATTATTGCTATATACTAAGATATCATCAAAGTAAACAACAACAAATTTTCCTATGTAAGATCGCAGAACATGATTCATAAGTCGCATAAACGTACTTGGTGCATTAGTTAAACCAAAAGGCATCACTAACCATTCATACAATCCATGCTTAGTTTTAAATGCAGTTTTCCACTCATCTCC